CTAGTTAATGTGGGATGTTGAAATTTAATGGAAAATATAATATTATGCTTTTTCTCATGATGTTCTTGGACAGACTTCTGATATATTGTACTATGAAGTATTGGACATTCCTCTGCCAGAATTACAATGTCTGAAAACTCTCAAAGTAGCATTTCATCATGCTATCAAGGATGAAGTGAGTATGCTGATCAATTTCTTAAGTTACTCTTAAAGATGTTGATATTTTGTTCATAGAATAAAATTTATGTCATTTTGTATCAGATTAGTATTCATACTATCAGACTACCAAAACAGAGCTCTGTAGGGGACGTTATTAATGATCTTAAGACAAAGGTAATTTTCTTGGTCTAATTGTGGTAGCTGTCCTTACCGCATGCTATGTTTTTTGTATACTTGGCCTTTTTCCTGCTTTTTGGCGGATTCTGTTTGTGATTCACATATTTACTTTAATCTAAATTTCTGGAGCAGGTGGAGTTATCTCATCCTGATGCAGAACTCCGGTTGCTAGAAGTTTTCTATCATAAGATTTACAAGGTCTGAAATTCATCTTTTCGTTGCTATTTCTGCTCCCACTGATGTCCTATAAATATGAAGTTTAAATTGAACAAAAGAGCATTTGCTTGGCCCATTTGATTTGTCTTGATTGGTTGATTGGGGAGGTAAGAGAGATGGAAAAGTGGAAGTAACAAAAAACATTACTTTTAACCACTTTCTTCTCTCCAATTGAAGGTTAGGATAGACAATGCAGTCTTTTCCCCTATGCTATTGTACCTAAGTGTTCTGCACTAAACTAGTTCCTGTCTCTTTTTTGTGCTTTGACTTTCTCTCCTACTAGGCAGAGCCTTAATATCACTAGTCAGGTGATATTTCTATGAATGATGTATGTGATAAATTTTGAAGTGGCTGGTTCATAATACTCTTCTTATGGCTTTTCTTGTGATTATAATATCTGTTTGGCTGGTAGATAAAAAGAATGAAATGCATTGAATTAGGTGTGCATTGATCTAGTTTTTCTTTTAGAATCTGCATTCTTTATCTTTTTTATATTTTAGTGGAAGATTCATTTTTTCATAAGATTTAGCTTTTAAGTTCTGATTTCACATGTATGCAGATTTTTCCACTGAATGAAAAGATTGAGAATATAAATGATCAATACTGGACATTAAGGGCAGAAGAGGTCAGTGCCTCTCTTTCGCTGTCATGTCAGCTTAGGAATTATATATACATATACTGTTATTATTATTACTTCGATTATCTTATGTTGTTTAGATGAGCATCTACTTTTATGGCTATTTTAATATGGCAGATTCCGGAAGAAGAAAAAATTCTTGGTCCACATGATCGTCTAATTCATGTTTATCACTTTACAAAAGACACTGCTCAGAATCAGATGGTAATTAGCTGTCACTTTACATACAGACTATCCGCTATTTAATATTGTTAAAGTATTCTTCATATTTTGTACCAAAAATCACTAGTTGGTGATCTTCATTAAATCTTCCTCATTGGCTAATAACATTTATATTTGGCAGCAAATACAGAACTTTGGCGAACCATTTTTCTTAGTCATACATGAAGGTGAGACTTTGGCAGAAATAAAAGTGCGAATACAGAAGAAACTACAAGTTCCTGATGATGAGTTTGCTAAGGTATACTTTGTCTGGCTTTAAACCATATATTCCACCTTAAAATAAGTCATTGTCTGGAATCGTGTTTGCTACATTGCTTACCTGGATTAGTCACTTATATCAAAAGATGATTTCATTAATCAAATCTTAAATATGCTACCTGTAATGTACTTCAATTCTTATTAAAAATGTTATGCTGCCAGTAATTTTTGAACCCACCTTGGCATGTGAATAATTTATCATATTGCACTTTTATTATTATTATTATTATTTTCAGTGATAATCATTTTGTTGAAGCCAACATTGTTTATTGTATTTCTTTTTTGCAGTGGAAGTTTGCATTCCTTTCTCTGGGTCGCCCAGAGTACCTTCAGGATTCTGATATTGTCTCCAGTCGTTTTCAGGTGCCTTTCTATTCATTTGTCCCTGTAATATACATCTTAAAGATCAGATTTGGAATGAACAAAATTTCATGTCATATTTGTGCAGAGAAGAGATGTTTATGGTGCTTGGGAGCAGTATCTTGGATTGGAGCACTCTGACAGTGCTCCTAAAAGAGCTTATGCTTCTAACCAGGTGAATTATCTCTGTTGATGTTAATTTCTGAATTTTCATAATTTTTGTAGTTAATGACTTGTTTAGCCTCTAAGAAATTGGGGCGATTCCTCCTTTTTCTGCTTATGCTGGATTTGCTAAGCTTGTTTATCTCTGTTCATAGTTCTTTTTGTTGATTGTTTGCAATTGCCGTGCACAAAAGAACATGTACTTTGACTTGGATCATACATCATGCCTTTTCCCTGGAAGTGGAAAATGAAAAAAATCTGAATAGATATGCTAAGGAGTTCATTGAATTTGTTTTTGATATGTTTGTGCTTTATTTCAGAATCGCCACACCTTTGAGAAGCCAGTTAAGATCTACAATTAGGAAACATATGAAGATGCATGAATTTCATTTACGGCTCTAGATGAAGTGGGTAACCCTCAATACCATTGATCTGTAAAAAATGGCAAAAACAGTGAAAAGTAAGTGAAGCTTTAAAGGTTGAGAAATTGAAGGGTTTGGTGGTTGATTTTATTGGCAGTGTAATTTTTTTTGCTAGTTTGGATGCAAAATTGTGTATCTGCAAGTGTTATCACATCCCTCCAGAGCTTTTACTTCCGGTTTTAAATGGAGGTTCCTCTTTGAGTAATCCACCAGTGTAATTTAACAGTACATAAAACAAAAATGAGATTTTGGATTAGTGAATGTAATCATGTATACAGGGTATAGTTGGGTGATTTCCTTTTCATATTGTTTCTGTAGATGGGATATTATGTAATGGCTGATCAGCCACTGTTTGCGAGCCTGTTTCTAGATTTTTGTGAAAGAAATTGTCAGGCGTCGCATTTTCAAGGACTCTTCATCTTCGGTTTTCCATTTTGATATATCACTCTCTAATATCAACTTTTGCTAGATTAGCTGGGGAGATGTGACTGAGTATAAGTTTNAATCATTTTGTTGAAGCCAACATTGTTTATTGTATTTCTTTTTTGCAGTGGAAGTTTGCATTCCTTTCTCTGGGTCGCCCAGAGTACCTTCAGGATTCTGATATTGTCTCCAGTCGTTTTCAGGTGCCTTTCTATTCATTTGTCCCTGTAATATACATCTTAAAGATCAGATTTGGAATGAACAAAATTTCATGTCATATTTGTGCAGAGAAGAGATGTTTATGGTGCTTGGGAGCAGTATCTTGGATTGGAGCACTCTGACAGTGCTCCTAAAAAAGCTTATGCTTCTAACCAGGTGAATTATCTCTGTTGATGTTAATTTCTGAATTTTCATAATTTTTGTAGTTAATGACTTGTTTAGCCTCTAAGAAATTGGGGCGATTCCTCCTTTTTCTGCTTATGCTGGATTTGCTAAGCTTGTTTATCTCTGTTCATAGTTCTTTTTGTTGATTGTTTGCAATTGCTGTGCACAAAAGAACATGTACGTTGACTTGGATCATACATCATCCCTTTTCCCTGGAAGTGGAAAATGAAAAAAATCTGAATAGATATGCTAAGGAGTTCATTGAATTTGTTTTTGATATGTTTGTGCTTTATTTCAGAATCGCCACACCTTTGAGAAGCCAGTTAAGATCTACAATTAGGAAACATTTGAAGATGCATGAATTTCATTTACGGCTCTAGATGAAGTGGGTAAACCTCAATACCATTGATCTGTAAAAAATGGCAAAAACAGTGAAAAGTAAGTGAAGCTTTAAAGGTTGAGAAATTGAAGGGTTTGGTGGTTGATTTTATTGGCAGTGTAATTTTTTTTGCTAGTTTGGATGCAAAATTGTGTATCTGCAAGTGTTACCACATCCCTCTAGAGCTTTTACTTCCGGTTTTAAATGGAGGTTCCTCTTTGAGTAATCCACCAGTGTAATTTAACAGTACATAAAACAAAAATGAGATTTTGGATTAGTGAATGTATACAGGGTATAGTTGGGTGATTTCCTTTTCATATTGTTTCTGTAGATGGGATATTATGTAATGGCTGATCAGCCACTGTTTGCGAGCCTGTTTCTAGATTTTTGTGAAAGAAATTGTCAGGCGTCGCATTTTCAAGGACTCTTCATCTTCGGTTTTCCATTTTGATATATCACTCTCTAATATCAACTTTTGCTAGATTAGCTGGGGAGATGTGACTGAGTATAAGTTTTGGGTTTTTATGGTATATAAATTGAATAATACTACTCCATAATTCTGTTTCACAAACTTTTCTGAAAAGTAAAGTTGTACTAAATCTACAGTAAATGGTGGAAATGCATGTGAAAGTGTTAGAAAACGTGGCCACGCTTTCGCATAGGCAAATAGTGGCACCTTCATATTCAAAGATAAATTAGAATATTTTTGTAAAAGAAAATTTTGAATCTTAAGAGCTAAAAAGAAATCATTTTTGAAACTCCTTGTTAATACTGTGGGATAATCTACTCCATTTATAATTTTAAAATGTGTTTACCAAACTTTTTTGAATTGACAGATTAATAACAAGTGATTATTGAAGGATAATGGAGGCCCTCGATTTTTAAAATTTTTCTTCAACTACTGACAATCTTTATTCTCATCCGACATATTTCTCGTTCTTTCTGTCTCTTCAAATCCCTGGAGCGATCAGTCAGTCTCTGTACCAAACTCACAATACAGTTTTGATTGTCGAGTGTAGACAAATGGTAACTGTGTAATATCATGCGGAAAAAGAATTATGGATATAAAGCGGATTTAATTGAAAAGTAAAAGGAGCTAACCTGAGGCCACATATTTTCTGTAAATCCATGGCTATGCCTGCTCTCTGTTTCTTCCCCCCTCAATTCCACCCTCTTTCGTCTTCTTCAAATCATTCGCTTCCACCAATATTTTCCCCTTCAAAATCACAAGTCCTCTTTCTCTCTCGTCGTCTTCGAAAGCATAAAAAACCACTCATTTACCAGCCCACTATCACTAACCTCTTTCTCCATCCAATATTTTTCTTCACTGCCTTTGACAGACCTTCGGCCTTTGATACTCAAACCGCCCTTGCTACTATCAGTGTTTTGGTTGCCATCGTTCTCTCTCTCTTCCTCGGCTTCAAGGTTTAACTCATTCTCATTCTCATTTCATCTCAAATTAACCCTTTTAGTAAAACCCCCTTTTCTTCTTTTTGCAGAGAGATCCTTTGCCTTGCGACCGCTGCGCCGGAAATGGTAAATGCTTTCACTCAATTTCATTAACTCTTAATACTTCCACGTTACAATATTTTGTTATTTTAAACAATCTTGCATATATCTTTGTATCTGGGTCATGCTATTGAACTGGAATTTTGGTGATAGTGAATAAGCATTTGTGTTAGTTCTGATATCTATTTGAATTCAGCGATTTAGAAGAGTCGTTGAATTGGAAATGTTATCTATTAATTTTTGTTAACTCTACTACCTGAACTGTTACATTAAGGAAATTTATGCCCTTGTTTATCTCATTGTGTTTGAAATGTTATATCTATAGCTTAGATATCTTGTTGATTATAGTATTTCTGAAATGACACTGCTGACTTGAATTTAGTTTTCGAAATACTTATGAAGTCTTTACCTTTTCCACTATTTGTTTATATTTAATTCTTGCCCGGATACATTTATGGTACTTTGCGATATAACTATCTAGTGCTTTGAGGTAGAAAAGCCTAGTTCATAATTTTACTACTCTCTGTGTTGGATAGGTGGTACTAAATGTGTGTTTTGTAATAATGGTAAGATGAAGCAAGAAACGGGTTTGATCGATTGTAAAGTGTGCAAGGGAGCAGGTTTGTTCTATTTCCATATACTTTTAATATATTTGGAAACATGAATTATGCATTTGGTTTCTTATTTATTTATTTATGCTTTTGGGTGCTAGGTGGCAAAGTGCCTTTGATTATCTAACAAGGATTAATTTGTTTCATTTAGTTATGAGTAGCATTTGGAATTATCCTGTCATGTGATATTTCTTTTTAGCACCTTAACAAGTCATGGCTATTCATTTACTTGAAGTATGTTTACTGAATGATTTCAAAATTTAATCTTTCTCCTCTTTGTCATTAACATTTTGGTGACTGTTAAGGGAGGAAGAAAGGGAGAAGATCGGACAGAAAGAAAAGGGAGAGAACAGAGAGAATTCCAATAGTCAATATATCATATTTAGAATGCTAGTCTTAAAATTGATCATTTCCTAATATAGCTACTAAATCTAAATTATGGTTTTTCGATCAGGTATTATAAATAAAACTTGTTACGTTCTTTTGCTTTGCTGTTTAAAGCAAGCTATTGCAATTCCGTGTTTACGTCCGAATGAGTATACTTTGCAGGTTGATTTCAGCCAATAACCTCTGGTTTTGAGTGATGTCCAATTTGGTTTAAGTATCAAATTTGGCATCCCTAATATATATCAGACTGTTAATCAATTTTGATTTTAAATATGTTTGATTTTATTCTTTCTGCTCTTATATCTTATTTAATTGAATTATTTCTCTTTGCAGGATTAATACTCTGCAAGAAGTGTGCAGGTTCTGGATATTCAAGACGTCTATGAGCTGTAATTCGATTTTGACACAATATTTTTTTATCTGTAAGAAAATTTTACTGAAGCTTTAATTCTTTTGTCCATATCCTCCCTTTTTTGCCCCTCGTTTCCCCCTTTGTTCCTCTCCTCTCTATCTCTAAATTCTTCACTTTTTTCATTTCCAATTTACAATGTAATTGTGGTGAAGTGGAAATAGCAATATTGTAAATTCTGATGTAGATTTCTGGTTTTCAGATGACTTGAACTCTTTTGTTAAGGGCATCTCCAGCTTATGAAATATATTCCTTGAAATGTAATTTATTGAGTTTGTGTTGACTTATTTTTCATTGAGGTATTTCTATGATAACATTGGTTATTTTGTTTGAACGATTGACAGTGAAAAAAAAAAAAAAATTATAATACACACTTTTGAAATTTACATTGGCCATTGGACATGAATCTTGGCAGTAAATTCTTTTACCCTAGAAGGATTCTCATATGATGTTGACCATCAGTCAAGATTGAAAATTAATTTACAATACCCTTAGTTGGAAGTTTTGGATCTTTGCCTATAAGTTCTCAGTGACATTCACATGTGTGAATTTGCCATACTATCTTACCTTAAAATGGGTAATGGACAAAGAAACAAATGACTTGAATGCAGGGAGATTGCTGAATATTGATGCCCATATTTAGGATTCTACTTTTATCAGTTTTAAGCTTTCATTTCATTTCTAATTTTGGTACTCGGATGGTGATTTATTTGATATTTTTTCCTTATTATCATAGTTTTAACAAGAGTGGCTATATGGTTCATGATTGCTCCAGTACTGCTGCTACATATGTCTTTAGTTTGGGACATTTTAGTTTTCACATTCACCTGCTGCATAACCCAACTTTATGCATTTGGACCGTATGTTTCTACCAGTTCACTTGTGAGAATAGTTTTAAGTTGCATGATAAGGACTCCTTGAACACTTCCTTCTAGACTTTATGTTTCTAGTGTAGGACGTCTATCTACCATAAACTGGTGTATAGTTCTCCATGTTTAGTTGGCAAGCAGCATTAGACATTTTGCAACATGTGTTGGCTCTGTTATGTTTACCCTTTATTTTACTACCCCTTGAGGAAAACATTTTCTCCAACTCCCATTATTTTGGCTTCTGGTAGTTGTAATTCTATTCATATAAGTACTCTAATTGCCTCCAAATCTTTGGGACTAGGTCCCCTCAACCTTTTGGTTTTCCTTTCAACTTTGTTATCAGTCTTGCTTCATTGTTCTGATGGCTGAAAGAGAATAAAAAAATGGAGAACACTCATGCATTTGCCGCAATGCAAATTTTGTTATGAAAGTTCCAGTTGTTTCATGTACCGGAACTACAACTGTTCTACATATCATCTTGACCCTCGCAGCTAATTCTACATCGTTGTGTTGAAATGCAAATAGGCTCTGATTCCCATATCTGAAATTGTTATAACAGCTCTAGGCTTCACCTGCGTGCATTAAAAGGTAATTTTTTTTTTTTTTTTGGGAGCATGGTTAACTAATATGTTAACTAATCGATTTCGAGTACAATTTTTTTTTTCCTTTTTAATACCTCCACATGAGATGAGCCACTAAGGGGTTTAAGAATTGGTTTTCTTTTTATAAGGGTCAAAATGATTTATTTTGGCCTCATATAGTAGGGTGGTGTTCGGTAAAAAAAATCTCCCTCCAAACCGCACATACTTTGTCTTGGATTAGGAAAAGAAATATTTATACATTTATCATGTTAACAATTTCTGAATTTCGATTTGGATGAAACAATTTAAATGTCAAAAAGCTCATTTTAATGGGCGAGAAATAGACATCACAATTATTACTTTTATTCACATGATCAAATTTTTATTGATATGATTTGATATTTAAGTTTAAAAATTTTCAACAATCAATTTACTTAATTAATTAAATGGATGAGCTAAGCAATTTTTTTTTTTAAAAATTATTCATAATTATTTATTTATTTATCTATTTAATACAAAAAATATACTGTAATTATAAATTAAAAGTTTCAACTTGCAATTTTTTATTTACCAAAAAATATATAAATCAGGTAAATTGAGCTAGAGCCTATTTGATTGGGCTTCTTTGTTGGCGGAAAGAGTTTTTTCAATGAGTAAACGACATGTTGTCACTCAAGGTTTGGTGAAATGTCACTTTTCAAAAAGTTTCAAAACGATATTTTTCCATCCATTGGTCAGATCTGTTAGTAAATTTCATTATAAAGAAGGGTTAGATGATAAAAAAATCCTCTTTGAAGAAGAGCAGGAGAGCCAATTTACGTGTAGCCACAAAAATCAAAATTTAAAATTCGAAATCCGTCAGTGTAGTGACAGAATGGTTGCCACGTGTCCCACCAAAGTTGACTTTAGAAAAAAAGGGAAAACCAGGTCATTTATCTTCTGGGTTTATTCGGAGCGACGAGTGGCGACTGTTTACAGCTACCGGCGAGTGGCGACTTCGACTGGCGACTCTTTACAGCTATCGGCGAGTGGCGACTAGCAAAGAAAAAGGGGTTGAAAGCATTAGCTCGAGATTGTTTAGGAGGACTGAGAAAAAAATAGGGTTTCTAAGTGGCGGCTGGCGATCGGTTAACCGGGAAGGATGACGACTGAAGGAACACAGCAGCAATGGATGACTGAAGGCTGTTTAGGGTATAGGGTTCGACTATTTACGCTATAAGTAACCTTCTTCTTGTGTTCTTTTCGTTTTAGGTTAAAAATAAAAAAACTAACTCATATTTGATGTAATTATTTTATTTATTAATTGATATCTTTGTGCTTTTGATTTTGCTAGTTTGTTGAAATAAGAGACAATTGGTACTGTGTTGGGACTCTCATTCGAGGTTAATGGTTAAAAAAAATGGGTTAAAGGATTATGCAATTCAAGAGGGCTTTGCATTAAGGAAGTTCAATTCGAAAACTTTCTCATTCGTATTTGTTTCTCAAGAAAATTATTTAAATTCCATGTGTTGAATTGATAAAAACAAACGAAATTGGCGCAAGATGAGAATCAGAGGTTGGAAGATATGCTTGGGGGTTTGCTTCAGCAATTGGTGGTGCGTTTCTTACTATTTTGACTTCTATAATTGAGATTCAGCATTTTACTAACTTTAGTGTTTGTTATTTTTCACTTTAAAAAGTGTTGGTTTCAAATTGATTTTTGTGCTGCTGACAAGCACTCTTGAATGTTGTAAAAAGTGGTGGTTTTAAAACATTCTTGAATCTTTGTTAATTTGTTTATTTGAAACGAATTTGGCACAAGATGATATTCCTAACGAATTAGAAAATATGATTTTGGTTCAGGAATTGGTGGTACATTCCTAACGATGACCTCAGGAACTGAGGTTCGGCATTTTTCTAGCCTGTGTATTTGTTAATTTTCACTGAAGAAGTGATCCCTGAGAGCTCTTTTGATTCCTGAAGCTTTTTATAATGCTGAAAGCACTCTGAAATGTCTAGTTTGTTTGTTTATTTGAAACAAAACTGGTACAATATGAGAACCAATTGTTAAAATAGATGCTTGGACTACTCATTTAACTCCTGAAACCACCTAAATGATGCCAAATGTTTTTTTTATTAGTTTACTTAAGAAATTGGTATGTTGGTACAGTCTTCCGCATTGGATTCAGTAGAGCCATTAATGCAGTATGGACAATCAATTGATGACAGGGAAATTAGCCAGGCTCAAATTCCACAGCTCCTCGGTCAGGAAATGCTTTTGTTGTTAATTTGCTGCCTTACAGTTTATATATGTAATTCTTTGATTAGGTAATGTTGGACAATTTGTGACACAAGTGCAATGTAAAGGAAGAAATTGGATTCGCTTTGCAAGAAAGTCATTGGTGTAGCATTGTTTGTGGTTGATAATATACTTGTGATGCATTGGTTGTTGTATATTTATTGCAAATTCATGCAAAATGACACTTTTATGTACATGTTATGACTGAAACCAGTCCTAAGAAATTAAGAGAAAAAGAGAGTAGAAGGGAAGAAGAAAGGAAGAGCAAGAGAGGGGAAGGAAAATAGAGGGAAAGTCTGGAGAGTTTTTGTATTAATTCATCGATAATCCCTTCTTACAATTATTGAGTATATATGGTGGTTTGTTAGTGACCATCTCTAATCAACTACAGCTGATATCTAAAGAAGTATAACAAACTCTTTTAGAAATTATGAAAAACATAGCAATGCAAAAAGCATATTAATTTGCCTTTGCCTTTCCCTTATTTTTATCCGTAGCAATTCCTTCCCCTTGAGTGTATTCTTGTCCCCAAGAATGCATAAAGTCTGGGAACTGAACCTGAATAAAAGTGAGGTCCTTCCAACTAGAGTCTATAGATGGCAAGCTGCTCCATTTGATGAGCACTTGAGAAATATGTTGGCCGTTTCTCAGATTTGTCTTCTAAATGAGGATTTTTTCTGGTTGTACTATGAACTTATCTTCTTTCAACTCCGGTAGAATATTCATTGGCACAGTTCTGGCTTCAATTTTCCTTTTTAATAATGAAACAAAAAGCATACTAATTTGCCTTTGCCTTTCCCTTCCTTTTATACGTAGCAACTCCTCCCCCTTAAGTGTATTCTTGTCCCCAAGAATGCATAAAGTCTGGGAACTGAACCTGAATAAAAGTGAGGTCCTCCCACCTAGAGTCTATAGATGGCAAGCTGCTCCATTTGATGAGCACTTGAGAAATATGTTGGTCGTTTCTCAGAATTGTCCTCTGAATGAGGATTTTTTCTGGTTGTACTATGAACTTATCTTCCTTCAACTCTGGTAGAATATTCATTGGCACAGTTTTGGCTTCAATTTTCTTTTTTAATAATGAAACATGAAAAACAGGGTGGATGAAACTATTCTCTGGTAGTTTTAGTTTGCAAGGCACATCTAATCTTCTCTGACACTTGGAAGAGACCATAGTATTGTACTGTTAGTTTGAGTGACTTCTTGAGTGCGATGCTCGATTGTCGATATAGTTGTAGTTTTAAATATACCTAATCCTCTACTTTAAACTCTCTTTCTGCCTGTTTCTATCCGCATATTGCTTCATTTTATTGCTTGCAATTGCTAGTTGTTCCAACAACTGAGCCTTCTGAGTTAGGAATTCTTGAATAGCTGCCACCGAAGTGGAATGATTAGGCAAAATTGGTAAGGGAGGAGGGTACCCATATAGGGCTTGAAATGGTGTTATCTTCAGAGAATTGTGAAAAGTGGTGTTGTACCATTACTCTATCAAATACAACCATTTTGCCTAATGTCTGGGTTGTGCAAAACAGATGCACCGCATATAAGCTACTAGGCAACGATTTACCCTTTTCGTTTGACCGTCCGTTTGAGGGTGATAGGCGGTATTGAGTTGTATTTTAGTGTCTAACAACTTGAAGAGTTCTTGCCAAAATTGACCAGTGAACAGTCGATCTCTATTAGAAATAATATTTTCAGGCAGCCCATGCAACTTGAACACCCCTTCCATGAATACCTTAGCTACCTTAGCAGCTGAATAAGGATGAGATAGAGCAAAGAAATGGCTACACTTGGTGAATCTGTCCACCACTACTAGTATTGAATCGAACCCTTGGGACTTAGGTAGTTTGTCGATGAAATTCATCGATATGGAATGCCAGGCTTGTGATGGGATAAGCAGCGACATAAGTAATCTTGGGTAGGCATAGGACTCTGACTTGCATCTTCGACAAGCATCACAAGTTAGAATCCACTCCATTACTAATTTTTGCATCCTAGGCCAGTAAAATACCTGTCTCAACCTCTGGTAAGTGTTTTGGATTCTTGAATATCCTCCAAGAGGTGATTCATGACAAGTCTCCATTAATTTGGACCTCAAATCTCTATTGCTTCCCACATGCAGCTTACCTTTATAATATATAAGTCCAGTTTTGAGAGTACAGTTAGCTACAGAGTCAGGTTTGACTGATAGAGCTTGTAGTAGCTTGACAGCTTCCTTGTCGCCTTCATATGATTCCTGGGCTTCTTCCATCCATGTTGGAATAATAGAAGAAGCAAGGTAGCATAAATACTACATATCTGGCCTACAGGATAGAGCATCCGCAGCCATGTTCTCAGCCCTTTTTTTGTATTGAATTCTATAGTCTAACCCCAATAATTTAGTGACCCCTTTTTACTGAACATAAGTGTGTAATCTCTGTTCTAGAAGATGTTTTATGCTTTCATGATCAATCCTTAAAATAAATTGGCCTTGCTCTAAGTAGTGCCTCCATTTAGAAACTGCAAATAAGATTGTTAATAATTCTCTTTCATATGCTGATAGTTGCTAGTTTCTCGGGCTTAGTGGTTTTGAGAGGAAAGCAATAGGCCTTCCTTTTTGCATAAGGACTGCGCCAATTCCATAACCACTAGCATCGCATTCTAGTGTAAACCCTTAAGTAAAATCTGGTAGAGCCAAGATTGAAGTTGAAACCATTGTAACTTTGAGGCTTTCAAAAGCTTCTTGAGCTTCAAAACCCCATATAAAAGCATCTTTCCTCAATAAATCCGTCAAGGGTCTGCTGATTGCTCCATAATTCTTAATGAACCTTCTATAGTAACCAGTTAGTCCCATGAATCCTTTTCATTCTTTCAATGTAATCGATATTTGGCCATGAACTCATTGCCTCTACTTTGGATGGATCCGTTACTAGCCACCACTAGATATAAGGTGTCCAAGATAAGCTATCTCGGTCTTTCCAAATTCGCACTTTGACATCTTGGCAAATAGTTGCTGCTTCACCAATATTTGAAGGACTTGTTCTAGATGCCTTAGGTGGGATTTAGGGTCTGGACTGTAGATTACGATGTCATCAAAGAAAACTAGAACAAATTTTCTCAGATAAGGTTGCAATATTTGGTTCATGAGGGCTTGGAAGGTGGCAGGGGCATTGGTTAGGCCAAAAAGTATAACTAAAAATTCAAAATGGCTTGTGTGCATCCTGAATGCCATCTTAGGGATGTCAACAGGTTCCATCTGTATCTGATGGTAGCCAACCCTAAGATCCAGCTTAGAAAAAATGGTTGCCTTTTGGAGCTCATCCAATAAGTATTCGATTATTGGAATTGGGAACTTATTCTTCATAGTCCTCTCATTAAGTTGTCGATAATCTATGTAAAATCTCCAACTGCCATCCTTCTTCTAGACTAAGAGAACTAGAGGTACGTAGGGGTTGCAACTACGCTGGATTATTTCAGAATTCATCATTTCTTTAGTGAGTTTCTCAATCTTTGTCTTTTGGAAGTAAGGATATTGATATGGCCTAACATTGACAGGTTTAGCTCCTGCTTTTAATGGTATTTGATGGTTGTGTGTCCTAAAGGGGGGTAACCATTTGGGTTATGAGAATACACACTGGAATCTGTGAAATAACTTCCTCAATCGCCACTGGAACTTATTGTCATGCTGTGACCTTCCTGTGACTTCAGGTTCTCTGATAGTTAGTGAAAACAACCTCATTGTTATTCCATCCCATTTGTTTTTTACTAGCTTCTGTAACCTTTTGCAACTCATCATCTTTAAGGAGACTTCCTCTATTATACCTTTTAATTCCACCAATTTCCATTCTTTCTTAACTATCAAACGATTTTCCTCAAAATCAAATATTATTGGTGTGCAAGTCTTCATCCAATCTACACCTAATATCATACTATTGTTAGAGTAGGTGCCCTAGAGCCGATCAATTATTGTAAAATTGACTCTGTAATAAATGTTTATTTATCAATAAAAGGCATATTCTACTATATCACGTAAATCATATTATATGTATTGATATATGGTCTTAGGATGGTAGAACTCTGACGAGGGTATCAAGTGTTTCAAATCTTGATAGTGAGAACCTTATGATCACATATGGTGGCCATTCTAGAAACGTCCGTAACCCCAGTATTATTCTGACCAAGGACACATATAATACGGTAAGATTATCATAGTGTTGAACGATCCTGTCGAAAGGCAGTGACTGATCTCACTTGTCAAGGTTGTTTGTCGACAACCTGGTGCAACGCATGGGTGCTTGCTAGAGGCAAGTTCACTGGACAGACCCACCAGAGGATTCCATATGGATGGTAACCCTAGTGTCTATGGAATAAATCCTTAACGGATGGTGGTGCATGTGATCCTTAGACTTGAGATCACCGAAGCGCCTTGTGCACCAATTGGTGTAGTTTGACACTAGCCCAACGTAGTTCTATTCAGAGCTATCAATACGGTAGTGATTGGCTACATTGAGAAGTGTATCTACACTATGGTGGATCGACAAAAGATTCATCACTCCTGGGTACGGGAGAAGTTATCTCATTGGGTAGTAAATGAAAATGGCACTAAATCTGTGGCCACAGTGGGATTGAGTTGATGTTCAATCCAACTTAATATTCCTGTCATTGGTCCAGTAATTGAATACAAACATGTCGAGGATATCTGAGGTTGACATTATTTCTGTACCTCAGTCTCGATGAGATAACAATTGATGAAATGATTTGATTGCATGGTAACTATATCGTTGACAGGCTGTGGTTTCGCTAAATTCAAATCTATTGGGTGGCCATGATGCCTTGGTAGGGCCAATCTTGGTCTGTGTGTAGTGAGACGATTAATTGATGTTAATCGCGATACTACACACTGCTGATATGATGAGGAACCTACGGGTCACACACTTAGGAGATAATTTAAGAATCAATTTGTGAGAAGGGTATTTTCGTCTTTTAGGATGAAAGGGTATTTTGATAATTTCACAGTGTAATTAAATTTGCTAAGGTTGTTGCTTGTATTTAATTTTAATATTAAAATTAAATTAGTGAGATTATATTTAAATATATCTTTGTATATATTTAAATGAATTATTATTATTAAATATTAATATATTAGTATATATTAATTGATTTTAATTATAATAATAA